GCAGGAGAGGCTGCAGGAGAGGTGCAGGAGAGGTGCAGGAGAGGCTGCAGGAGAGGGGCAGGAGGGATGCAGGAGGGACGCAGAAGGGCTGTAGGAGAGGCTGCAGGAGGGATGCAGGAAGGATGCAGGAGGGATGCAGGAGGGATGCAGGATGAATGCAGGAGGAATGCAGGAGGGGCTGCAGGAGGGGCTGCAGGAGAGGCTGCAGGATGAATGCAGGAGGAATGCAGGATGCTCAGCCCACCCACCCTGTCAACCCCCGCTGCTCTCCCGGAGCTCAACTCATCCCGGCTGCTCCCAGGGCGCCGAGGGAGGAGCGGAGCTGGGGAAAGGCCGTGGGGCAGGCTGAGGAGGAAGAGGATTTGCACAGGGAGAGCAAAAGGGGTTTTCTCCTTTCAGAAATTTCCAAACCGGGCCGCTCTCCTGTCTCCGCTTCCCTCCGGGGATGCTTTCCAGGCTCACGCCTTTCCTGTTGCACCTGAGTCAGGCATTCCCTCCCTTCCAGCGGCTCCGGGCGGGCGCGGACCTGTCCCGGCCTCTCCAGGGACCTGTCCCGGCCTCTCCAGGGATCTGTCCCGGCCTCTCCAGGGACCTGTCCCGGCCTCTCCAGGGATCTGTCCCGGCCTCTCCAGGGATCTGTCCCGGCCTCTCCAGGGATCTGTCCCGGCCTCTCCAGGGACCTGTCCCGGCCTCTCCAGGGATCTGTCCCGGCCTCTCCAGGGACCTGTCCCGGCCTCTCCAGGGACCTGTCCCGGCCTCTCCAGGGACCTGTCCCGGCCTCTCCAGGGACCCTTCCCGGCCTCTCCAGGGATCTGTCCCGGCCTCTCCAGGGACCTGTCCCGGCCTCTCCAGGGATCTGTCCCGGCCTCTCCAGGGACCCTTCCCGGCCTTCCACAGACCCTTCCCGGCCTTCCAGGGACCTCTCCCGGCCTCTCCACAGACCTGTCCCGGCCCTCCAGGGACCTGTCCCAGTCCCTGCACGCCTTTCCCGAGACCCAAAGCCCTTCCCACTGAGGGGATGCAGCCCTGGGGATGCAGCAGGTGAGCCCTCACCTCCCTCTGAGGGCTGGCAGGAAGGTGCAATGTGGATGTGAGAAGTGAGCAGGAGGGAGACATTGCCCTGCTCACCCCAGCACTGAAAGTCCGCAGTTCGGGAATTATTTGTGTTTTATCCTCAGTGAAATTCTGGAATCTGCAATGTAGGGATAATTTGTGTTTATCCTCAGTGAGGCCCAGTGTCTGCCAGCTAACCCAACCTGCCATTGCCACCTCTTCATCATTACAGCTTCCTACGCTGCTTTATCTGTGGAATATTCAGCTTTTCCCACCCTTTCTGTGCCTCTCTGGGTGGGCTTTCTTGTGATATCCCACAGACCCTGAGTTCCCCAGTCTGCTGAAAGCCACTGGATTCTTTATTGATCATGCATACAAACACTCCAGACGTGTCTGGCCTGCAGGTGCTGCCCTCAGGTCGGGAAAGCTTAGGGAAATCAAAAGCATCAGATGCTGCTCTAAAGGGTTTTCCAGTTGCCTTTAAAAGAAAATGGGATTATTTTTTTTTCACAATGCTCCTTCTGGCCAGTGAGAGCCCAGTGTAGGAACTGGGGCTGCTGGTGGGACGAGCCACTCGAGTTCCTGCTGTTTCCCAGCCCAACCTCCTCACTCAGACCTGCACTTCCAGCCCCCTTGGGAATCAAACCATTCCTCCTAAATCACCACTCAAAGCTGAATTTAAGCAAAAAGAAAAAAAAAAAAAGGTCAAGTTATAGCAAACTGTGGGATCAATGAATTGTGAATTGTGTAGTGATCCTCAAGGTAGAGGCAGTCCCAGGCGCTGCCACCTGCCCCTCAGACCCGGTCCTGGCTGGGGGACACGTCCAGGACTGTGCTGTCCCCACCGGAGCTGTGCTGGGCGATGCTGAAGGAGGTGACGAGGAAGGAGGCGAGGTCAGCGTCCTCCTTGGAGCTCTGGGAAGGACAGGAGCACAGTCAGGGGATGGGGATGGGCAGCAGGGGAAAGGCAGCATTTTGGGGATGTCCCAGGATGACACAGGGACACTGGAGGGGTGGGATGATCCAGCTGATGTGAGCGTCATCCTGGGAGGATCCCAAAAGCTATTAAATTTGGGATTCCTTGGCAAGCCTGGGTGCTGGCATCCACTCCCCTGTCCTAAAACTGCTGGTCTTTCTTTACTGATCACTCCAGTTCATCTCCTGGCACTGACAACACCTACACCTCTCCTGTTGGTAGGGACTTTGAAAGAAAAGTCCCTACAGGCTTGAATCTGGCACCTGCAGCTACTGCCAAATGGTGCCACTGGACCATGATCCTACCCGAGGGGAGGGGAGGCAGGGAAAATTAGCGAAAGGCAGATAAAAGAAAAAAAAAAAAAAAATAAAAATAGCCCCTGCAATGGCCGAGCCCTCCCTGCCTCCCTGTGCCCCCTGAGTCACTGAGAAGTGGGATGTGATGGTTTCCAGCCATCTGCATATCGCAGTGATTCACATCTCTGGTAACAAACCCAACCTTCCTGACGCTGCCTGGGGCTGCCTTGGTTCATTTCTTGAAGCAAAATGGCATCTGTTAATGTCTCTGCTAAACCAGGGAGTCAGGACAGGGGTGAGACCCACCCATGGGGGCTGGATCCGGGTAAAATGGAGAGCACCTGGGTATAAATAAAGCCCCTGGGAGGAGACTGCCTCTTTGGGACAGACTGCAGGGCTGTGGCCAAGTCTCCCAGGTCAGTGGCCTCTCTCCTGCCTCCTCTTACCCTTTTTGCCTTCGTTGTGTCAGCAGTGCTTTCCGGAGCATCCGTGGTGGTGGTGGTGGGCTCTGCAGGCAGAGAAAGGGAGGTGTTGGGGAGGGGACAATGGCTGGCAGGTGTTTCTGTGGCTTTTGTGGGGTATTTCAGCAAGGAAGGGCTGCCCCCGAGCCCAGGGCTGGGCTGGGGTCAGACACTCACCGTCCCCTCCCATGGGGGTGTCCTGGCTCTCCTTCACGTTGTTGATGGCACTGAAGTCCCTCACGCTCTCAAAGTCTGACATGCTGATGTTTGTCCTGTAGCTCCCCACGGACACCAGGTCTGGTGACAGGGAGGAGGAAAATCCCTCAGGTCTTGCTCAGAGTGGGTGGGAGCACAACAAGACCCAAACCCTCTGTGCCAGGCGATGCTGCGACGCAATGGGCAAAGCCCGTGGAGGGCTGGGCTCTGTCTCAGCCTGGAGTCTGGGAATTTGAGTTCTCTGGATGGGTCAGTGTGAGGAGCAGGGGGTTGGAGCTCTCTGGGTGGGTCACAGGAGGAGCAGGGGGTTGGAGCTCTCTGGCTGGGTCAGTGTGAGGAGCAGGGGGTTGGAGCTCTCTGGATGGGTCAGTGTGAGGAGCAGGGGGTTGGAGCTCTCTGGGTGGGTCAGTGTGAGGAGCAGGGGGTTGGAGCTCTCTGGCTGGGTCAGTGTGAGGAGCAGGGGGTTGGAGCTGTCTGGGTGGGTCAGTGTGAGGAGCAGGGGGTTGGAGCTCTCTGGTGGGTCACAGGAGGAGCAGGGACCTTCCTGCCCATCCTGGTGTGGTACCAGGAGAGCAGCTCAGCCCAGCACTTAAACTCAGTGCTGCTGCTGTTTCTTGAGAGCCCAGAGAGGCAGGGACTCACCAGATCTCTTCAGCTGCCTGTATTTGACAATGGCAAAAGCTGTCACAACAATCAGGATCAGACCAGCAAGAGGGCCCAGCACTAAGGCCAGAGTGTTGGAGCCATGGCTTTCCTCAGAGCTGGAACAGAGGGAGAGAAATCTCACTGAGAGCGATGCATGTGAAAATCCAGCAGGCTAAATTTGTGTGGGATGGTAGTTCTGAGTGAGCATGGTGCAATTCAATCAATTAACTGGATTCTAGCACATGGAATAAAATAAAACCCAAATAAAAATATAGGCTTGAGGTCAACAGCTCCATCAGCAGCTTGGTTATAAATACACAAAGGAAAGTTCTCTAATATTAGCAGAAGTACTTTCAAATAGTACCTGGAATTTCTAATAATATCCTTCTGATACTACTTTCTTGAATTAGAGATTAATTATGAGTCATCTTGCCCTTTTGCTCTCACTTTTTATCTTCTCTGACATTTAAAGCAAAGTTCTTTGGGGCTGAGTTTTTTCGTGTGTTGCTAAACAACACACACAAGGTGTGTAAACACAACGGGTTTGTATAAACCCCACAAAAATGAGAAATGGCAGGGGATGAAGGGAACCAACCTTTCTGGGACAGCTCCTTTTCGCACCTCAGCATCGCTGTAGGCTCCTCCTGGGGGAACAGCTCCAGACTCATGGCTGGAATTAACATCCAGGAGCTCTGGGCTGTGCTTGGCATCGCTCCCTGTGTGTCCCAGAAAATGAGGGTGGTTAGAAAGCAGCAGCATGAGAACTGGACACAAAAACTACAGGGATGTGTTTGGTGGACATGGAGCTGCTGTGGGTTTTGGCTTTCCGTGAGAGGATCTTCAAAATGGGGGTTTGAGGCCTGAAATGCTCTCACGCCAAATAATTTACTGCAAAAATCTCAAGTAGGATCTCTCTGCCTGT